GGTACGGTAGATTTAGGCGATGTGCCTTCCCCTTCATCTACTCCCCTTTCGTCACTCCCTCACCAGCTGTCCAGGGAGATTACTCCGGACCAGCGCAGCACACCGAGGCGCTCCCCTCCCAGAGCACCGCCAAGGTCTTCAGCTACCAAGTCCGCCCCTAGAACTCAGCGCCAGAGGAGTCCCCCAAGGCCATTGCATCAGAGCCCACCTCGCCGCGGACCTCGTAAACATGCTCGTACTCGCTCTCGCACCCCGTCCCCTCCCAGAAGGAGAGGAGGCTCTTACCGGCCACGAGCTCCTGCTGGCAGTCTGGGGGGCGATCGTCATAATCCCTGACTGGTGGCTACCACTTTTATGATTAATCTATGACAACTGTCCAAGAGCCATTGTGTATAATGCCACAGGTTTTATGAAAGGCATCTCATTAGGATTGCCCATCTATTTCATTCAATTTATCACTGGAATCTTTCATAAGTTATAGACAAGGATAATGAGATATCATGGGGATATTTCATTAGGTTCTTTGGCCCTTTCATTATCATTTCTGAGACTTTTCATTAGGATATTTCATTAGGCTCCTGCGCTTTTTCATTACCATTTCAAAGGAATTTTCATTAGGATATTTCATTAGGCTCCTGCACTTTTTCATTATCATTTCTGAGAAATCTCATTAGGATATTTCATTAGGCTCCTGCGCTTTTTCATTATCATTTCTTAGAATTTTCATTAGGATATTTCATTAGGCTACTGTGCTTTTTCATTACCATTTCATAGAATTTTCATTTTAATTAGGCTCCTTCGCTTTTTCATTACCATTTCATAGAATTTTTATTAGGATATTTCATTAGGCTCCTGCGCTTTTTCATTATCATTTCTTAGAATTTTCATTAGGATATTTCATTAGGCTGCTTCGCTTTTTCATTACCATTTCATGGAATTTTCATTAGGATATTTCATTAGGCTCCTTGGCACTTTCATTACCATTTCTTAGAATTTTCATTAGGATATTTCATTAGGCTCCTTCGCTTTTTCATTACCATTTCATAGAATTTTCATTAGGATATTTCATTAGGCTCTTGCGCTTTTTCATTACCATTTGTTAGAATTTTCATTAGGATAAGGAGCCTAATGAAATATCCTAATGAGATTCTAAGAAATGATAATGAAAAAGCGCAGGAGCCTAATGAAATATCCTAATGAAAATTCTAAGAAATGGTAATGAAAGTGCCAAGGAGCCTAATGAAATATCCTAATGAAAAGTCTATGAAATGGTAATGAAAAAGCGAAGCAGCCTAATGAAATATCCTACTGAAAAGTCTCAGAAATGATAATGAAAGGGCCAAAGAGCCTAATGAAATATCCCCATGATATCTCATTATCCTTGCCTATAACTTATGAAAGATTCCAGTGACAAATTGAATGAAATAGGTGGGCAATCCTAATGAGATGCCTTTCATAAAACCTGTGGCATTATACACAATGGCTCTTGGACAGTTGTCATAGATTAATCATAAATAGTGGTAGCCACTAGTGAATCCCTGGCCACCTGCGCCCGCTGCTAATGCTTGGCCCACCCCTAGCGGAACTTCTAACCCTTGGGAGTCGACCCCCACCCCTCTTTCATGGTCGACACCCAATCCTCTTCCCTCGGGACCAACTCCACCATCTTGGGGACCTTCACCGGGCTACATGCCTTGGGGTTTCAGCCCTCCAACTCAAAATCCGTGGTCAATCCATTATCTGGGTTACTACCCCTCGGAGCAGATCCCGTTGCCCAACTGGCCACCCATGAGCTATCCCCCAATGCAGCCTCATCATTGTCCGTCGTGCAACAACTGCACCTCTTGCAGCCGCCCCTCATTGCCAGCAGCAAGTCAGGACCCACATCAGCCTCCTCCAACTACGTCCAGTTCATCTTTACTGGGACGCTTGCGCTCTCTGTCTAGCACGGATCGACCTCACACCACTGCCGTTCCCTTGGCACAGCGCCTACGTGATCCAGCTCCCTTAATCGATCGTGTGGCTCCACCAGCTTCCTTATCACAACGATTACAGTCGCCTAGCCCGGAGTTCGTGCAAGGGTCCTCTTTGAGGCCCTTCCAGAGTAACTCGACAAGGTCATTACACCAACGACTGGCGAATAAGGAGGAGGAAGGAGAGCCTTCGGATCGGGAGGAGAACGTGCCAACGAGCCGTGCACGACGAAGTCGCAGAGCAGGACGGAAGCAGAAGGAAGAAGACGAACAACAGATCAGAGAAGGGAAGCAGCCAGCGCCGGGCAAAGGCAAGAGGAGGGACCGTCGGGATAGAGGTAACCGAGGAGGTTTCGCATGAGGATGTAATGCGACACTGCGCGCAGGGGGGCATTGTGATACGGAATAGGAGAATACATGCAGACTCGCTTACATAATCTTGACTTCTTGACGATTATTGTACGTAGCAATCTCTAGACATAAAACCACCATCATCTTGCTAACAAGCTCGTGTGATGAGTCTACTGTGTCCACTGCTGGTAAGACCAAAGGGTGAGCACCCTTCACAATGCTCCCTCCTCCACAGGATACGAGAGCCTGTCCTCTGGGTTAACGAGGGTCTGCCTAGGACTTCTAGGCAACCCTAGGAGACGAGCGCAACCTCAACAGTTGCGTTCTCTCCAATCACTTCTATTCATCGACCTTACACTACGACAATCTACTACGGTACTACGAGGCTTCACATGCACTGAGGCTTTACATCAGGCCATGGCTTTGTGCAGCTGATAATTAGGTGTGTAAAAACCTCTATAAAAAAAAGACTGAACTCACATTACTTGTCAATGAGAATCAACATGAGAATTGACAGCAACAAAAATCAATTGATGATCAATTGACCATGCTTGAATTACATCATGTGAGCACTTTGCACCATCCTCCAAAGCCATTCTGACCATATTCTGACAGTTCTTGCATACTGACTCATTTCAAGCTAAGTTGCAAAATTCAGTAATATAAAATGTTTATTGACTCATGTACCAGCTTTATTTCTTACTCCTTGCATACAGGCTGTGGCCTAAGCCTGAGCCACAGATGGCTTTGGCTGGCTTGGGCCCAGGGCTCAGGCTCGAAAAATCTCAAGCCTGAGCTCTCAAAAGCCAGGCCAAAGCCACAGCTTCCAGGCCAAGCCAGGCTGTGGCCCATCACATCACTAAGCAGGATTCCCCAACTCTTAAGGAGGGTTCTGTTGAACGTGAATGTGCCCTACTGAATGGGTATTTCTATAGCTCCAAAACCATCATCTAGAAACTTCTGT